ATGCGATGTGAAGCTGAAGATCAAAGTGATCTAAGCGCGTAATCTAAGTGATCTGGCCATGCAATTTGAGAGCTCTGGTTTGGAACAGGCTTCAATATTTTGATGATAACTTTAGTTGTAGACCTTGGATTTGGATGACTCTTGGACCGTCGGAAATCTAACTCGAAGGGCTACAATTCTTGTCGCTTAGCCAGATTCAGACTTTATCTTACTCAGATTTTCACGTTTGATAACATGATTCTAGAAAAAGAAGATGGGATTTGTCGAATGGAGAGCTGGTGTGAATCAGGCCCTTCCTCTCACGCCAAAATGTTGATACAGAAATCTGCACTAATTAGCGAGATCCGATCGACCTTGTCGGGATCGAAACTGATGTGCGTGTGATTTCGGATAACCAGTAGTGGATGAATAATAATTGCAATAAAGTAAATGGCAGAGAGAACTTTTAAAGTGGTTCAGCAAGTTAGAACTTGAGCATACGTCCACTGTTATCTTATTGTTTTTGAGAGCTTACAAAGAACAGTAATTCCTAGGAAAATTTACTTAGAACAATTGGCCAGCCCCCCGAAAACAAGTTATGATGGATTTATATAACATCTATTTACATGATAGAATTAAGATAAGATTCAAATACGTAGGATTATGAAGTTGCATGATCTTCGGCTACCTTAGTTGGAATATAAGTTAATATGAATATCTTTCTTCCAAATTGAGCCAATCTAAATATCTAATAGAGAATTATCTTATTCGAATTGATCGCACAACATAGGTATATTGGATTGCTATTACTAATTGTGATTTAATGATATCTATCTAGAATTGTTATTAATAACCATTTAATATATTGAATGTGTATTAATAATAATTCAAAAATGTTTGTTGGATCAATTGATCTGGATAAAATAGGGATATATTTGATTTTTTATAAGACGATTCATATATAAAAAGACCTATTTATCCTTGCAGAATTAAAATTTGAATTTCAAATTTCATTTAATTTTCTCTCTCATCATTAAGTGAAAATCAAATTCCAATGACATATTTTCAATACATTGGGTTTGTTACCAATATTTTAATTTAATTATATGTTATTATAAAGTTGACTTATACCAACAATTATAATGAAGATATTGGTGATAAAAATTCAATTTCAAATAAAGTCTATTTTTCATTACCGAAAAAGCAGTTGCTCTGAGATGTATAGTTCGTGGTGATCAGCCATGGTTTCTAATAATATTCTTTTTTTAAATAATTAAACTTTGTGCTTGAATCTAATTGTCATTTCAAATCAATTGCAAGACATAAAATTTAAAATAATATATTATAAAATTTGAGTGTGTACCTAAAGTTAATTGCCCGGACTTGAAATTTAAAACAATATATTATATGATTTCATTGTACAACTTAAAGTTAATGCGGTCAAGTCTATACAGTAAATTCAAAAGTTAATGTTTATAAAATCAAATTTTTTACTTTAATCTAACCGTCATTTCAGTTGCCAGCACTTAGAATTTAAAATGAAGTCTTTTAGTGTCTTGACTCCGAACTTAAAAGGGTGATATAGATAAAACAAAAATTAATGTTAAATTTGACTCATGCCAACAATTATAAATTTAATTATAATTGAAAAAACAGTGCTTCTCAAATAAACATTTAGTCAATAACTAAACTGGCTAAACGTCGACGCTAACTCAACACACTTTGTACCTTTGTATGAAAATGGTGTACATTTTATATGAAAATTCGTTGCAAACGGTTCTTACACTTGCAGTAAGGATTACACTTCAACTTTGGGTGATAAAGGTATCACACAAGAAAAAAGCTTGTACTTGCAAATAGTTACCTTTACATGTTTTGTTTTGTTTTTTTAAAGAAATTTAATTATTACAATAAATTAATTCATGCTTTCAACTTTCTAATAAATTATGGTCCGTTTGGTTAATTATTTTCTACCATATTTCCAATCCTATTCTTAAAATAACAGTTTGTTTTGTTATTTAGGAAATATTATTATATTTTATTAAATTATTTTAGATCCTTTAAGTTTATTAATTTAATTAAACACCCCCCAAAACACTCACACCCACCCACATTTACCAGATTCCGATGGCCACCGCTGGAAGGTGACTAGAATCTGGTATAATGGCGCACAACCGATTGGATCTTGCCGGTAGTGCGCCGATCTATCATTTTCCGGCCAGATCAACCGTGGATCTGACCGGAAAAGGCTAGATCCACTGCCAAAGATTTAGCCGTTGACGGCTAGATCTTTAGTTGTAACTATCGTCGTTGACCATCAACGACGACCATATCTTTGGTCGTCGTTTACGACTAAACATGGCCAGATCTAGCCTTTTCTGGCTAGATTCACGGTGGATTTGGCTAAAAAAATGCTATCTCGGTGCACGATCGACCAGATTTAGTCGATTGTGCGTCGATACGGCGCCTTCGGCCACCCTTCGGCGGTGATGGCCAATTGCCAAAATTTTATGGGTGAGTGGGGGTGTTTTTGTAATTTTAATGTTTTTATTACAAGGATGTTTAGTTATTTAACAAACTTAGAGAGTGTTTTGTTAATTTTCAAATCCTACCTCGTTATTCACACTAACTCTAAAAATATCAAAAATCATATCCAAAATAATAAACCAAACAGACCCTTAATTATTACTATAAATTAATTTATACTTTCCAACCTTTATTCTTGGAAATATCAAAATAATAAGGTGCGTTTGGTTTAGTATTTTGGATAGGATTTTAGGGATAGTATTGGGTTATTGGATATGGGAGTATTACGAGGTAAATTTTAAAAATTTGTAAAAAAGCCCTTAGGTTTACTAATTTAACTAAAGACCCTAACATATAAAATAACAAAAACACCCCCACCACCTGCAGTGTCAGATTCCGGCCACCACCGCCGGAATCTGGCCGGAAAATTTTGTTACGGCACAGACTTGTCGGATCTGTGCCGTAACACGTCGTTATGGCCTTTTCCGGCCAGATCCATGGTGGATCTGGCTGGAAAAGGCCAGATCTACGGTCTGTTATGGCCGTCGACGGCCGAAAAAGGCCAAACGAGGGCCATCTTTGGCCGTCAGTGATGGCCAAAGATGTGGCCGTCGTTTTCGGTCAACGACGGCCAAGATTTGGCCGTCAGATCTGGCCTTTTTCGGCCAAATCCGTGGTGGATCTGGCCGGAAAAGGCCACAGCGGTGAACTTCCGGCCATTTTTGGTCGGAAGTTAGGCCGTTGTACAGATTTCGGCTATCACCGTTGCCGGAATCTGACAAGTTGGGTTGATGGGGGTGTTTTTGTTAATTTTTAAACTTTTTTCAGGGGGTATTTAGTGAAATTAATAACCTTATGGGGTTAAAATGTAATTAAAAAAATAGGGTAATATTTCTAGAATATTGTACCAAACATTATTTGGAGAATAGGATCCAGAATAGGGATAAAAATATTAAACCAAACATACAGATAATTATTTCTTTCTCATCCTTAAATTGTTTTCCCTCCAAAAAGCAAGGTTTAGGAGTAAAAAATAATTTTATTTCACTAAAGGATAAATTTGTAAATTTAAAATAATTTTATTTCACTAAAGGATAAATTTGTAAATTTATCTTCCCAAAAAAGTTTTTGATCCCGATCAATTGATCCAAATAGCACTACTCATAATAATTATAAGCATTGGATTTACATTCTAATCCCTAAACACAAACATAAATTTGTGAGATATTAATTGCTGGGTTGTTATTCCAAATGTCAGATATAAAGATTCATCCAAAAGTTATTAATTGCTTCACTGAATAATATTATATAAACAACCATTTCTTATAAATTTTCTCTCACAACTATAACATAACAAAGTTCATAATAGATTTCACATGAGTATTGTATGGATCTTATTAATTAATTATGAGTTGACTAATTGGGAACTCGTGAGAAAAAGTCTGTAAGTGAGACTTTTGATTTAGAATAATATTGCACATACATCATTCTCATACAATATTTCTCATACAACATTACATGGCAAGATATGATTGGGTGAAAGTTTAATTTTAACTTTAAATTAGCTAATCATATCTTGCCACATAATGTTATATGAAAAATATTATATGAAAATAATGTATGTATAGTATGATATCGGAAGGTCTAATCAAAACATTCATATTCATTCATCCAAAAGTTATTAATTGCTGCATTGGTTATCGAAAGGTCTAATCAAAACATGCTTCGCTTGGTTCAAAATTTTGGGTTTTTGGAAAAGGTTTTTTGAAAAAAGTTGAATTTGGCGGGTATTACGGTGTAGGATTTACAAATAATAAAATACCCCCCATGTTTGTTTATTTACAAAAACACCCCTATAATAAAACATTAAAAGTTAACGAAACACCCGCAACCCACCCTCAAATACGGACAGCCGACCACCATCGCCGGAGGGTGGTTGGAGTCACCGTATCGGCGCATGACTGGTTGGATCTTGCCGGTCTTGCGTCGATATGACCTTTTCTAGTCAAATCCACGTTGGATTTGACCGACAAAGGTTAGATCTACGGCTAGATCTAGCCATTGACGGTCAGATCTGGCCGTATTTGCTGGTCAACGACGACTAACAAATGGTCGTCGTTGATGGTCAACGACAACCGTTTGTTGGCCGTCGTTATTGACTGGTTACGACCAAAGATCTAGTCTTTTTCGGTTAGATCTACTGTAGATCTGGCTGAAAAAGGCTAGATCGGCACACTACCAGTCATATTCAACCGGTAGTGCGCTATCCTATCAGATTCCGATCATTTTCTGACAGTGGAGGCCGGAATCTGGAAAATGTGGATTATTGGGGTGTTTTTATAATTTTTTTAAAAATATTTAAAGGTATTTAATTAGATTAACAAATTTAGGGATTTAAAAAAGTTGAATAATATTATGAGTTTTAAGGTATTTTACCGTTTAACTTTTTTTTGGCAACCAATCGAAGCCATACATATTCATCCAAAGGAGCTGCAGCAAAAACTAAATACAAAAAAAATGCATTCATTTGGGTACAGAGCCAACGCTGTGTTAACTTTCGCCGTCACCATTGTCGCCTTAATGTGCGCCATCGCTTCTCTTTCTGACAACCTTAACAGTCCTTCTCTGACTGCTGAAATCCAGGTCAATTTTACGAGTGTCTTTTATCCGAATTGTTGCATTTTTTTTAGATCCATCTCTGATTCGTGTTAGAATTAAGAGAACCCAGTTGTGTTTTTATGATTTTGACTATTTTTGTTTCTGGGTTTGTGGTTTTTGTGATTGTAGCCTTGTAGGTATTGAATATTAATTGTTTTCAGAAGTAGACACACGGAAACGATGAGGTAATTTTTAAATTTTTGTGATTTTTAGTATTAGTTTCTTTCTTTGATGGGTTGCTGTTAGATTTTTGAATTTTTTTTTTTTTTTTTTTTTTTTTTTTTGGGTTCTAGGTATTTGAAACATTAGTTTTTTTTATTTATTATTTTATGCTTAATGTCTGAATTTAATTACTTTGAAGGTAACTGAGATGTTTATTTAGTTTCAAATGACCTAAAATGGCATTTTGATATTGCAGTAAGTGTCTAGAATTAAGAAAGAACATCTAGATGATGATTTTGCAGTAATGAATGATAGGATTGATAAGAGGGTTTACAAATAATGGATTGTTTGAAAAAGCTATGGAGTTTTATCGTAGAATGGAAATTCAAGGGTTTAGAGCTGATAATTTTACATACTTGTTTGTGATTAAAGCGTGCGGCGGTTACTGATCTCTGGGCCTGAATATATATTCTGAGATTCCTTGAATTATATTCAGTATAACATATACTGTAAATTTTTTGTTGGAATTTTTAACTCCACTTCCATGCCGCATGATTTCTAAACATAAAATTATAAGCAGGGGCTCAGTGTAAGCACAGCAGTATTTGATGGAGTGAAGCATCTGATTGCATTTGGTGGCTACAACGGGAAATATAATAATGAGGTATGCTGTATTATATAACTATTTGTATCTGTGCTTTTTCAGAGGTGATACTTTTTTCCTATTTTCTTTTTCTTTTATATGACATAAGATTATTCTGAAAGCCTTTAGTCGTTTCTATTTGTTGTCAAGTTGTACCATATGTTTCTAGCTTAAAGCTAAGCTCAAGTTCATGAAGATGTATGTGCTGAATTGTTGTGTTATGGTTATTTTTTTTCCCTTTATGATTAGTGTTAATCTAATAATTTCAGTTGGTCTGTGAATGTAGTATCTTCACTGTTTGTTATGGTAGTTCTATGTATCTTAATCATTTTGGGGATTTTGGTGGATTAGTATTTATGAACACATAATTAGGCTCATGATGCATCACATTTGATTTTTTTTCAATCTGTACACAGGATACTCATCTTCTACTGACTGGGGGACTGGAGAAAATTTTTCGTATTCTTGATTTAAATCATCCAGATGCACCCCCAAGAGAAGTGGATAGATCTCCTGGTTCAGTCAGAACTATTGCATGGCTCCATAGTGATCGAATAATGTTAAGCTCTTGCTCTGGCATGGGCGGTGTCAGGTATGGCTGTTTCTCCTGCATCATATGTATGTTGTTACATGGAAAGTAAATTTGTTTGATATCTTGGTTTTTTTTTTTTTTTTTTTTTATTCCTTTCAATAACCGTAATGTGATACTTTATCATGAAATTTCTGGGTGCTCTTATAAACTAATGCAAGCTGTAGATAGAATAAGCTAAAGACATGGGTCCAATTACCGAGCTGCATTGCATTTTCAGAGGTTTGGGGATCAAATCTTAGAAAATGAGGTTAAAATTTGAGGTCGTAGGGATTTTAGTATTCTTTTGGCTCAAGGAAAGAGAGATTTAAAAAAAAATGTTAATTGCTTCTTATATTCTCCTGATGTTTGATTAATTGCTGTTACTTGATAGGAAAATTGTTGGGCTAGCTATTCAATTATATTAGATTATAATATTTTATACATGTTTTCTCCCAAAGTTGAAGTTGAAAATAGTTATTGGGCTGGATGGGATTTTCTATTTTTTCTAATCATTACTAAAATTATTAGTGGTTTTACAGGTTATGGGATGTTGGAAGTGGTAAGATAGTCCAAACACTCGAGCCCAAGTCATCTGTGACCAGTGCTGAAGTGAGTCAAGATGGTCGTTATATCACAACTGCTGATGGGTCAATGGTTAAGTTCTGGGATGCAAACCAGTAAGTTTTATGCCTTGGCCAAATCTGAATCTTGAACTCTAATGAAATGGGAACTATCTTTCTGAACAAGATGTTACAGTTGATATTGAGACAATCAAAGAAGAGAAAAGAGTTTCGGAATTGTCTCTAGCAGAAGCCAGAGAAAATTTCTAGGCTCAGAGAAAAGGTCGATGAAGTTAACAGTACTCATGGTGAATTGTCCAAGGTCTGCTCTTGATGACACAATTACTTTTTGTTTACTAAGTAGATGAATATTCTTAGTAAAGTTTGAGTGTTTATCATCTGAAATATTCATCATCCACTCCGCTGTTTGCTTGCAGGAACTCCAATCTGTCCAAGGTCAACTGGTAACTGAGAGATCAAGAATCTTCAAATTGGAGGTTCACCCTTCAAATTTTATAATTTATTGAAAAATCGCTGTTCATTGCCTTTTTGATTCCAATTGCTTCCACAACTAGGCACCAATCTTTATTGTTTGAACTTCATACAAGGCCTAATTGTTCAAATACTGATATGATATTAATGACCAATTGAGATTGTAGAAGTCTAATTCTTTGGTTTTTCATGGCAGCCAAAGTGGAATGATGCACTTCTTGAGATGTTTAGAATCAATTACATCGGTACTTCTCCATACATCACCTGTTTGCCTTCGCTCTATCATCATCAAGTCAGCCCAATGGACAAGTTCTTGATATTGTCTTTAGATGGACTCTATCAATACTTCACCTACGAAGAAGCTGTATCCGAAGTTGTGTTATTCATTGCTGCATTTCCCAAAGGAGATCCTGCACAACATCTCATAAAGCTGGTAAGAATCTGAACTAGATGAGAAAATAAAACAATTCAAACTGATCATACATTGTGAGACAAAGTCAATCTAATGAACTTGGTTTTGTTAACAATGCAGTTATTGACTTCCATGAGTTGCTTGATATCCCACAAGTAAGAATGGTCTCATTCTGAATGACCAATATCTGATATTTTGGCAGAAAGATGTGGTTTGTTCTGAACCATGAAAAGGTTAGAAATGTCTTGATGACACAAAATAGTTAGACCAAGGTGCTAGAAATGATTATAGTAGCAATTTTTGCTATGGTGGTTTTGGCTTCTTATTATGTTGCTGGTTACTGTGAAGTTTTATAACATGCATCTGCAGCAAGTTTATGTAACACTTACACCAAAACCTTCTCTGGGGTTGATGGAGCTGGAAAGCGATTAGCAAATGGAGTGAGTCTTGATATGTGTTCCATTTATTTGTATATGACCTGCATCTTTATAGGGAATTACATGTGTATCAAAATTGATGATCTTTCTTCCTTAATTATCTGGGAACAGGTCAAACACCATCACAGTCAGCAGATTTAGACTTTTTAATCTGTTTACTGTGTGAAATTGATAGATTTTATGTGGATGGTAGTTAAAGATGATGCCAGTCAATTTTGAAATGACAATGTGATCATTTAATGATTACTTTTTGTTTTAATCGTTGAAGTATGATGAATGCAAGCTGAACGTTGTCTTTGGTTTCAGGGTAAGCATCTGAGAACAAACAGTTGTGGCAGCCTGAGAGTTGGCTATAAATGAATTGAGCTGATGGAGTCTATGCTTCCTTCTTTCACTTATATATATATAATTTCTTGATGGGTAGTCGGTAGGTTAGATTTATACAAGTTATTGAAATTCTGATCTCTTGTTGATGCTCACTTAGTTTGTTAAATATACAGTAACAACAACATTTATTCAAGTCTGTCGTAATAAATTTTGTAACCCATTGGTTTATATGTAATTTGTTTTCTCTGATCAATGATATTGCGCTAGAATGGAAGCTGGAGCTGTTGTTTCTGACTCAAATCCACTAAAATGAAATTCTATTATTCCTACTGTATGGATGGAAGGATTTGATTTTGCTTTTATGTAAGGATAACAATTTTATGGGACCATCAAATTAATCATTATAATAGAATGTAAACTCTATATTTAAATGTGATTTATACCTTGCATTAGAGACATATTCTACTCTCATGTATAATGTAATTATATTTTTAATTAAGGAGTGTTGTATTATATAAATAAATGAAGAATAGTTTTAGAAATTAATTATTTGCTAACCATTAGTCTACTTAAAGTCACGTACATCTTAATTTAATAAATAAGAGAGCAATTTTACATGCTGATAATTCTTGATAATACAACCGCTAAAGTAGTGTAGAAGTATTCCCAACCAGTGTTTTAAAACCCGACCTGGTCCGGCCGGTTGAATTGGGACCCGAAAGCTTCAACGGGCCGGGTTTAACTTTTCCGATTCACCCCAAAACCCTAAGATTTGGGAGGATGATCAGTGAACAATTGACGGTTGAAAGGTTGTGGCTTTTGAAGAGTAAGTTCTGGTGAATGGAATGGTGGCGACGACGTTGATTTCCTGTGAGTAAATCGACCGAAAATCGAACAAATCTGGCAACGGCAACAATGAGATTTTGCCGGCGATTGGCGAGGCTAACGGGGGTGGGGTGAGGTGGGTTTTGGTCAGGAGGAAGAGGGGAGTGATTCCTGGGCGATGGAGAGGGTTTTCGACGTCGGCGTCGATGAGATCTGGCCAGATCTTGAGTAGATTTTAATGGAAATAAGCTTAATGGACGATTGGGGTTGCATCTGGGGTGTTGCCACTGCCAATCAATCGCCAGTTGATTTGCATTTGTGGTGTGTTTGATAAAGTTCAAACCTATAGGGACTTACATGTAATTTTTAGGGGTGTATTTGCTGAATTTTAAAAGTTTTTGTCAACCGGTTTGATCGCCAGTCCACCTGGGACCTGGCAACTTTGCCGGGTTTCACCTCGGGTTGGGTTTTAAAACATTGTTCCCAACAACAAAAAGAATTGTCACATAATATTAATGACTATTACTGTAAGTTAAGTTCGAACTTGCTAATAATTGATCATTCACCAACAATTTTTTCAGTGAATTGCTCAAAGAATGTACTAACAGTCAATTAATACCATAAAACATTAATTGACAGCCAGTAGTAAATTAATATTACTGATTGATGAGTAGTTTGAATCTTTGAAAACTAGATAGACAGAGTTTTAATTTGATATATTATACGCTTAATTTGGATAACTGTAGCCCCACTGCCAAATCATTCCTTTTATTATCACATACATTTCGGCTTTTACTGAATAGTTAGTAGTAAATTGAATATAACTTGCTTAATAAACATCCAATTGATGAGAAGTTTGAATATTTAGAAACTAGACAGACAGAGCTTCAAATTAATATATTATACGCTTAATTTAGATAACCGTAGTGCCACAACCGAACCATTTCTTTTATCATTACCCATATTTCGGTTTACCCTCTTTCTCGATTTTCATTGAACAGTCAGTAATAAATTAGCTATAACTTTCTCAATAAAAATCTAATTGAAGAGCGGTTTGAATCTTTGAATACTAGAAAAAAAAAGGGGCTTTAATTTGATATATTATACACTTAATTTTGATAATTGTAGCCCCACTGCTGAACCATTCCTTTTATCATCATACACATTTCAGTTTCCACTGAATAGTTAGTAGTAAATTGACCGTAACTTGCTCAATAAAAACCCAATTTATGAGAGATTTAAATATTTAGAAACTAGACAGACAAGAATTTAATTTTATATATTATACGCTTAATTTAGATAACCATAACTTCACAGCTAAACTATTCCTTTTATCATCATATATTTCAGTTTTCACCGAACAGTCAGTAGTAAATTGACCATAACTTGCTCAATAAAAATCCAATTAATGAGAGGTTTGAATCTTTAGAAGCTAGACAGATAGAGCTTTAATTTGATATATTATATGATTAATTTGGATAAATTTAGCCCTACTTTCGAACCATTTTTTTTTATCATCACACACATTTTGATTTCCCCTATTTTTCGATTTCCACTGAATAGTTAGTAATAAATTGGTCATAACTTACTCAATTAAAATCTAATTGATGAGCGGTTTAAATCTTTGGAAACTAGAAAGGTAGAGCTTTAATTTGATATATTATACAACGAATTTGGATAGCTATAGATCTATTATCGAACCATTAATTTTATCATCACATACATAAAACCAATTCAATTTTAGTGATGACAAAAGAAAACAAATATTGATATGTAGTTTTAATTGTATATGTTCTATCTCTTTTTGTTGATATTTTTTTATGTTACATACATATACCAAAAATAAGTTGCTGCTGAAGATAACCAATTTTATTTATATCACAAATATCATTTGATGTTTGTTGCCGAACCATGTAGCTTTAGTAAATCATTTGTAATATGCCGAACTATTATTATTATCCTTAAAGGAAAACAAGTATTGATATGTACTTTTTAATTGTAATTGTTCAATCCTTTTTTGTTGATATCTTTTTATATTACATATATATATCATGAAAAGAGGTTGTTGCTGAATATAACTAATTTTATTTATTTAACAAATATAAACTGATGTTTGATGTCGAACCAAGTAGCTTTAGTAAACCATTCATTTTATCATCACACATATTTAAGTTTTTATTGAACAATCAATAGTAAATTGGTTATAACTTGCTTAATAAAACTCCAATTGATGAGAGGTTTGAATCTTTAGAAGACATATTCAACACATTATTAATCAGATATGCTATCAGATTATGTGGCTATTAAACCAATTTAAATTTTAATTCATTTAAAACTTGAGTTGGTTAATAATATTGAGCAAGTTATGTTCAATTTACTACTGATTGGTTTAACGTTTATTAGTTGCTATTTATTACACTAATTATTCGATATATTATACGCTTAATTTGGATAATTGTAGCCCCAATGCCGAATCATTCCTTTTATTATCACACATATTTGGTTTCCCCAGTTTCTCAATTTTCCACTAAACAGTCAGTAGTAAATTAGCTATAACTTGCTCAATAAAAATTTAATTAATGAGCGGTTTGAATCTTTGGAAACTAGAAAGATAGAGATTTAATTTGATATATTGTACACTTATTTTAGATAACCGTAACCCCATTGCCAAACCATTCTTTTATCTTTTATCATCATACACATTTCGACTTCCATTGAACAGTTAGTAGTAAATTGATCATAACTTACTTAATAAAACTCCAATTGATGAGAAGTTTGAATATTTAGAAACTAAGCATATAGTATTTAATTTGGTATATTATACGCTTAATTTGGATAACTATAGCCCCACTTCCGAACCATTTCTTTTATCATCACATTTTTCGGTTTTCACTGAATAGTTAGTAGTAAATTGACTATAACTTTCTTAATACTTCAATTGATGAGAGGTTTAAATCTTTAGAAACTAGACCGATAGAGCTTTAATTTGATATATTATATACTTAATTTGGATAAATGTAGCCCTACTTCTGAACCACTCTTTTTGTCTCGCACACATTTCGGTTTTCCCTATTTCTCAATTTCCACTAAACAATTAGTAGTGAATTGGTCATAATTTACTCAATAAAAATCTAATTGATGAGTAGTTTGAATATTTAAAAACTAGAAAGATGGAGCTTTACTTTGATATATTATACAATGAATTTGGATAACTATAGACCTACAGCTGAACTATTAATTTTATCATCACACACATAGAACCAATTCAATTTTAGTGATGACAAAGGAAAACAAATATTGATATATAGTTTTAATTGTATTTTTTCTATCTCTTTTTGTTGATATATATATATATTTTTTTATGTTACATATATATATTGAAAATAGGTTGTTGTTGAATATAACCAATTTTATTTGTATCACAAATATTATCTGATGTTTGTTACCAAACCATGTAGCTTTAGTAAACCATTTGTAATATGCCAAACTATGATTATTATCCTTAAAAGAAAACAAATATTAATATGTAGTTTTAATTGTAATTGTTCTATCTTTTTTTGTTGATATCTTTTTATGCTACATACATATATCATGAAAAGAGGTTGTTGCTAAATATAATTAATTAATTTATTTAACAAATATCAACTGATGTTTGATGTTGAACCATATAACTTTAATAAACTATTCATTTTATCATCACATATATTTAAGTTTCTATTGAATAATCAGTAGTAAATTGACCATAAATTGCCGAATAAAACTCCAAATGATGAGAGGTTTGAATCTTTAGAAACTAGATAGACAGGGCTTTAATTTGATATATTATACACTTAATTTGGATAACTGTAGCCCCACTGTCGAATAATTTCTTTTATCATCACACACATTTCGTTTTCCACTAAACAATTAGTAGTAAATTAACCATAACTTTCTCAATAAAAATCCAATTGATGAGAGGTTTGAATATTTACAAACTATACAGATAAGAATTTAATTTGATATATTATACACTTAATGTAGATAATTGTAGCTCCACTTCCAAACCATTTTTTTTTTTTTTATCATTACACATATTTCGGTTTCTACTGAATAGTCAGTAGTAAATTGACCATAACTTGTTTAATAAAAATTCAATTGATGAGAGGTTTGAATCTTTAGAAACTAGACAAACAGCGTTTTAATTTGATATGTTATACGCTTAATTTGGATAACTATAGCCCCACTGTTGAACCATTCATTTTATCATCACACACATTTCGGTTTTCCGTGTTTCTTGATTTTCACTAAACAGTCAGTAGTAAATTAGTCATAACTTTCTCAATAAAAATCTCATTGATGAGCGATTTGAATATTTGGAAATTAGAAAGATAGGGCTTTAATTTGATATATTATATGATGAATTTGGATAACTATAGACCTACTACCGAATCATTCATTTTATCATCACATACATAAAATAAATTCAATTTTAGTGATGACAAAGGAAAACAAATATTGATATGTAGTTTTAATTGTATTTGTTCTATCTCTTTTTGTTGATTTTTTGATTGATTTGTGGGTTTTACAATTATCGTCTTTCTTTAGGATGCTATCATCAAATACTTTTTTTGTTACAGGTGGTGGTTAATTCTAATTGCAGCAAATGGATTTGTGTCACACTTTTTTCGCTACAGGTGGTGGTTAATTTTAATTGCAGCAAATGGATTTGTGTCACATGACCTTTATCTTCATGACTTTTTCAATACTTCAATTAAGTTGCCTTCATATTATATTGTTGGAGTTGTTGTTGCCTTCTTTGTGAGTTCTCTTCTCAACATTCTTAATTTTTTTTTTATTTCTAAAATAATAAAAATAAAAATAATTCTTTTTCTCTTCTCAACGACTAAAATCAATTTTTTCCTTTGGCTCTGCAACTCTCTTGCTTAAAAGTTTACATTTTTCAACAAGGTTTCTCTTTTTTTGATTGATTTATAGACTTATCAATAATACCCAATGGGTTATCCTATAATTTTTTTGCTTTTCTGGACAAAGTTTTACACTTTTGTTGCAGATGTCAAATGGTGACATATTTGCGAAAAATCATGATGATATAGATTTTGAGTTCAATTTGTGGATATTTTATTTATTGATTTTTTAATTATCAATTCAATATAAAATGAACTTCAATATAAAAAATATATATTTAAAACACAAAAGAACCAATAATAATGTAAAAAAATATAATAAACATACCAGCGCAATGCAACTTGAAAATGAATATAAGTTACAGAAATTGTGGAATGTCAGTATAAATTTTAAGTTTAAATAGTTGATCTTGATAATATTCAGGTGATATTAAATATCATACACGATTCACTACAAAATACTTACATCGAATATCAAAGACATGTCTGCCAAAATAATATCAATTGTACAAGGTGATGATGAAAATATAATTAGACCATACAATATTCAAGTAATCTTATCAAATTGGATGAATGATTTAATGACATCTACGTATAATTGATATTAATAATTATACATGTACAATTATTAATTTTATCTTAATACAATTTTGCATATATATATAATTAATATCTATTTTAAAATTTGTATAATTTAACGATTATTATATTTTAATCTAATTAGTTTATTTTGTTAGAATAAATTTGTTTACTATCTATTTCAAAAACATTGAATAAACATACTCGATGCAACGCACGGGCCCATGTCTTAAGTAAAAGCTTAATTGCCTTAGTTTATTTTTCATAGAAAAAAATATTGCTAAAATTTACTCACCATTTACTCTGTAATCTAGTACTTCCACAAGAGTTACAATAATTATAAAATTATTGTAATGTTTACAATACATAGTTACGAAGGCATATGAATAATTTTGTGAGAAATGCCTCACAAAATATAATTAGATTCTCTCTAAAACAACCTCCATTACTGCAATCTTTGAAAATTGATGGACGTATTGCTACAGAAAGTAATAAGATAACCACCTATCAACCATTTGAAAACATTCCTTAGGCTTATACTCTGGAGCTGTGTGACCTCCTCCCTGTTTAAATTAAACAAATTAAATATCAATCTCAATCCAATCATATAAAAATTGAGCTCTATTTTATAATTTTCTCCCGTCATTTAAATTTATTAACTCTTATTTAACTTTCATTTATTATTAGTTTGTTTATGTAAATATTATTCCAAACAAAATGAGACTCAACGTTACCTTGACAGTTGCAAAAACCAAACCGTCTCCAATAGTAGCAGCTTCGGAAAGCTTCATGGTGAATCTATGAAGTAAAACAAAAGGGAAACTGAGAGAGTCAATTGAAATAAAATAAAAAATAAAAAAGAAAGGAAAATTTAGAGACAAACCCAGCAATTTGACCCTCAACGAACCATGGTCTCCAACCATCAATGGTACTCAAATTGAGAGTTTTGATCCAAGAAAGTGTACCCGTGTATGGAATCATCATGTCATGATCACCACTGCAGTAGAAAGTTTGAAATTCAGCCACAAATAATAACAAGATTAAATCTTTGAGAAGAAATGACGGAGAAAGTAAACTGAAAATACTGTCAAACACCTGTATATCAAAGCTCGATAGCCCATTGCCATTAGTATTCTGTGATAATACACCGTGCTCAAGATATCACTATCATAATCCAACGTTTTGTTGCATCTCTTCCAATCAATTATAGTTCCCTGATTGCAGCATAAAAGAGAAACAATATTAAAAAAATTCAGCCTACCTTTCCACGCTTTGAATTTAGATATTTGAATTACATACGTTTCTGACGTGAAGAGCTAGTTGCACAGATTGATCGTTCGCCCAGATATATGAGAGCACATAGTTGGAATTCTGTAAGAAATAATAGTCAACTATTCATCCATTCAGGTTAAGGTTTAAAAAGTGAGAACAAGATCGAGGGATTAATAAATTGTTTACCCTACACCAATTTTCTTCACGTTTACTTGAAGCAAAGGCTATATCAATGGGAAGATCGTCGAAAAATTTGCGTCCCCAATGAAGACCCTGAGGCTTTGGAGATGCAAAACTACACTTAGGTTCCAAAATCTGTGCGTCGTTTACTTTTATAGTGCACTGCAATTAGTTAATTACAAATATAAACATGAGTACACTTTATAGTCAAAAGATATAATCGGTTTTCTGAATAGAAATATTTGCTCTTCTTTCTCTTACCATTGCTATTTGTGCAATATCGTTAAAGCATTGGGGGTCTTGAATATTTGGTGAAATATATTCCCCCTGACAACTCCGTTTGACTGACTGAAGTGAACAAATAATAAATGGGATTAAATGAAATACAATTGCTAAAGGGTGAAAAATAGTGGGTAATTTTCTTAACCTCATAAAGTTCAGTTGATATTAGTCCAACGCGGTAAAAATATTGAACTCTTGAATTCTCATCATTGTGTAAATCTGTTACTGGGTTGCCAAGCGTGTAACCCTATTTCAAATATAACCAACAAGTATCCAAATTAAAGCTGATAACAGTGTCCAAAAGATGTGAATAATTAATTAAACTCGTACCTGTAGATTCAACATTGGATGTTTTCTAGCCCTATTACCTATACAAAATAACCCTTAAAATTTAAGTATTACTTGACAAAAATTTCACTTTAAGCATTACTTTTCAAAGATAACGCATACCCTTTGCTATTTCATAAGTGACCATGGGAACGATCATGCCGGAATAGGAATCACCGGTTATGTAAAGAGGATTATTGCTAAATCTGGGATGTTCCAGGATCCACTGCATCAACATAGAAAATATTCTTTTGTAAAAATTATCTAAGTAGGAAATATTTAAGGCATTTACATTGTTTTAGGGTTGTGTTTCCTCACCTTCCTTAGAAATTCGTAGATTGCTTTGGTTGAAAGTGTGTCAGAGGAATGCCATCCTTTCTGGGTTGTGGAGTAGGAGAAGCCGGTGCCCACCGGTGCATCCAAAAATATCATGTTTGCAATCTGCAAAATTACCACCACTTTGCCTTAGCCAAAGAAACTAAGTTTCACAATTTCCATATAAAGAGAGAATAATTTAATGAGAATTACCTGAGTCCATGAGTATTGATTATCTACAAATGATGGCAAGCTCCCATTGAAAGCCTTATAATCATAAAGTAGTGGACCTATATATATTCATAAAAAAAAAAAAAAAAAAAATTATAACTTGCTTAATTACCCAATTAATAGCTTAGAATTTTACTATTAATGGAAGATTGCATTCTCCAAGCTATCTTTATTACATCATAGGCATGGCAGCAAACAGACATATACTATGTTAATGGTGAGACAATATCATGCAAAAAAAAAAAAAAATATATATATATATATTAAATTACAGTCAAGAAATATTTAATTTTCTTTTTCAAGCACGACATATTTTGGGCCATGTCAGGCACATCATGATACGAAATTGGGACCCTCAAGCCTGATATCATATAATCGGTTACTCTCAGACGAACAACAACATTATAAGACTGAAATTTAATCTACACTAATACTATTTGAGTTCAGCACTAAACCAAATTCAATTAAAATATCTCACTTGCATTAAAATATTGATGTATAGACTCCATCAAAATGTAGATTTATATTGAGCATTCAGCATTGTCAAGAAACAAACACAATTGAATTTTTATCTCAATCAAGATGCAAATATAGAGTTTCTACTGATTTTTTTAATTATTCATAAAATACAAAAAAAAAAAAAAAAATTAATTACCTATTTTTAGAGTTATAAATACATAATATAAATCTTTTCTAAGTGTTTTTTTCTTTAAAAAAAAAAAAAAATCCCTCTAGCATGGGAAACAATTTATTTGCAAGGAGGGGAAGAAAGATGTTGAAGTGAACCTTTACAATTATCGACATTTTCACTAGTGCTAATGCCGATGAATAAATTGTCTTCTAAATTTATTTATGTATTGTTGGCGATATGTTGAGGTTGATAATTCCCTGTTTGGTATACTTTTTTGAAAATGATTTATGATATCCTATTCTAGATAAGATATGATTCTGAGAGTGTGTTTGATACATTATTGAAAACATTTTCTGAAAACATTTAAATTTTTTTAACTCCGTATGTTTGTTAATTTAACTAAATACTCTCACAATAAAAGTTTATAAATTAATAAAAACACCCCCACCCACCCAATCGACTGTCAACCACCACCCCTAGAATGATGTACAACCGACTGGATCTGGTTGATTGTCCGCTGATCTTACATTTTTTGGCCAGATCCACAGCCAAAATCTAGTTGTCGTTGACGACTAGATTTCTAGATGTCGTTAACAGCCAAGATCTACCCATCAACGATAACCAAAATATGCCCATTGTCAACGGCCAGATCGAAGATGGATCTGGTTGGAATGGCCAGATTGATGCATGATATGCTAAATCTGACCGATCGTGCATCGTTCTGGTGACGGTTGGCAATAACTACTGGTTGGTGATGATGTTTTGGGTGGGTGGGAGTGTTTTTGTTACTTTATAAACTTTTATTGTGAAAGGTAATTGTTAAATGTTTTGAGTTGAATAGAATATGATTGAATTCTGAATTGAATAGTCAATTTAAAGTAAACACGTTTTTCATTGTTTATGATAGAATAGTAGAATAGTATAGAGTTTGAAAAATTAAACAAACCGGGGGTTTCTGGGTTTTTTTTTTTTTTTCACTTTTAATATTTTCATTAGTATTTTTATGTAAATTTACTTTTAGAATTATAAATACTTTTAAAATATTAAAATATCTGTTAAATCCTCCAAACCTTTCAAATGACCCTTTTAGTCTTATACATAAATAAACAGATATTTTTAATTGATTTTTTTTTTGAATCTTTTGTAATCTTTTGATTTTTAATTAAGTTTTTGAAAGAATTATAGGTGAAGTAATGTTTGTGGTAGCAACTGCGGCCCCTACAGGGCCCAAAAAGGGTGGTAAATGAAATGGAGACTCCCAATCATGTCGTACGAGAAATCTTTGATGTACTCTCCCACGGCCCACCTGATTTATATTCAAACCACCCACTCTCTAACTAGAACTCCTTAAACTACCAAATTAGATCTTCAACTCCTGTCCTCTATCAACGTTTCAACATTACCAAAACCAACAATTCACTTAAACCTTTGATATAAAGAATTAAAATGTACATTATATAGTTGATATTATTCTTTGAAATTTATGTAATTCGAACTCATGATTTATAATATGTTGTTTCATGATAAAACTAAAAAGAATTGGATGAAGAACGTACCCACTTCAAATGCAAGACCGGAGAAACCAGAACAACCAGGGCCCCCAGTAAGCCATAGTAACAAAGGATCCTTCACTGGGTTTCTTTCCGACTCGATAAAGTAATAAAACAACTGCACTTCATCCAATTCTCCCACACTCACATATCTGAACACAACCCATTTCTCACTCGTTAATTTTCTAAATTAACTAGAAGAAGAAATAAATAAATAAATACACAACTCACCCTGTTTCTAGTTTGAATGGAAGCTTTCCGGGATAGCCAGGTAGTGACTCTACAATCGATTGAGCTACACATCCGGAAGAGAAAATCAGTAGAACAAAGCATACCCAGAAAGAGTTTTTCATGTCTTACCCGGCGAGTTGCCAGAGCAAATTAAGGAGCCCCAAAATACTAATGTGTTTAAATGAAGAAGAAACGTTTCCTCGATGCAAAAACCATGCGTCAGCTTTCTTCAAATATAGGATACATTCATTTTATGACTAACTGTTTGTATTTTGGAGATTTTGATTTTGATTTATGTCCCTTTTTCTCGATTGCCTGTAACCCGAAGACGACATTTGTTAAATATTTGTTTGTTCAACTGCCGTTCAAAGTTGAAACTTGACATTTTGGTACACCAATAATGCTTAGTGGCTTACATTCAAATTGGAGTGATTTAGGCACTTGAAACCTAGTTTCTACTTGTAAAAATATTGCATCTAACTTTCCCATTACTCTGTATAGATAGTCTATCATTTCCCGAGAGTTCATAAAATATTCTGTCTCTACATTATTAGAACTATTTTTTTTTTTTTAGTGCAGGGGAACATTACCCGATATATATTTGATAAGTATGTATGAAGATTTTGTTTATGGAAAGGCCTTCAACTTATTTTCCAACTTTAAAATTTACTTAATAAAACTGAACGCTACATTAATTAATTAAGAAAATAATTACACAGATCTTTCTATTCGGTTCACATAGATTTAGTTTTGTAATATCCAGGTGATACAACATAGATTGAGTTTGGATTTTTTATTACATGATTAAGAGAGTTTTTTCAGGTGAGAAAGTTGTCGATTAAAAAAAAATAAAATGTTGCCATGGCTGCATAACAAATAATCTAAACCACGTTTGGAGACAATGTTAGTTACGTAGACCAGAAAATTCAAAGTAAAAAAAAAAAAAATGAGTAATGCTACAGTTATCGAAGGATGTACACTGAATTCGTATACCGAATGACATGACATAATCTTGACCGTTAATTTATTATAAGTTAATATTAATCAACGGTCAAGATTTTGCTACGTCATTTGATGCATAGATTCGGTGTGTAATTTTTGGTAACTTTATCATTTTTCAAAAAAAATTCAGTTACATATCTAATGTTGTTAGTTGGACATTCAAAGTCAAAGTAAAAAATTGAATAATTTATTCGTTAAATTTAAGAAGTATCATATCATACCAATATATCATATAGAAATCATGCGTTATTAAAGGAGTATTTAACCCCATATGTTTTGTGATATTCCATTGAACACCTACTAATTTCAAAACTATAAGCTTAAGCATCATACGGACACAACGGTAGAACCCATCCGCCCTTTGTAATGATAATAAATCTTCTTCGAATAATTACAGGGTCAGTATGTGTTGATGTAAGAATTACACCAACTTGAGTGATTCAATTGACTTTGGTGGAACCAGAACGAATGTGTGCGTGATTAAAAATAATCATCAATGTAATGAATATAAAAGCAGTATCGTAAAGAACACAAAAGGTTTTTAAAGTGATTAGACAAGTTTTAATGTTGAGTCTACGTCTACTGTTTCTCTTATTTGCTTAAACAGCTTATAAGAAAATAATATAGTGTCTAGAATAATTTGTTAACCCCCTCTCCATCGTTGGAGGGGGATTATATACAAGTTTTTTTATAAAGGAAAAAGCAAAATTAAAAGAATTACAATTAAATTGAAATGCCACTGTGATATTATCACAATTGAGCGCTAAGATTGTGTCATTATTACTGTTGTCTGATCTCTTCCAAAATATCTGAGATTTGAGCTTATTTGTGATCTGCTTGAACAACTGTTAGAATTGGCGTGACTAGCTTATGCTGAGTGGAGCCATATTTAGATGAGTTTATGTTGGGTCGGACAAGTGTTGAATCGAACTATAACCTACGGAAGTCTGACTTTTCTAAGCTTAATGGAAAAATCACATACAACAATATGTATCTTTTAGTTTGAACAAATCTGTTACAGACAAATCACTCACGTGGTAGAATTCCATTATCTAAAGTTCGAAAATGGATTAAATTGAAATAAGTTTGTGGGGCAATGGGTTACCCATTCTTATTTTTTGTAATATAAATATTTTTAACATATAGTCAGGGGCGGACCTAGCCCCTTGGAGGATAGGCCCAGACCTACCCTCACATTTAAAAAAAAAAAAAAAAATTATTTATATAGACCCATAAATTTTTTTTATTAATATATATATCAAGACCTACTTTCAGATTAAAAAATATATATATATATATATCCAAACTCATAAAAAACTTGCTATTAATATATATATTCCAAGCCTACATCATATTAAAAGTTTAAAACTCTCTCTACTCTTTTCTATGTCTACCTGTTTTTTATGATTTTATCCCTAAAATTCTTTACTCTCTCGTTCTCTCTTTCACTTTTCTACGTTATTCGTTCTTAAAACTTTTGAAGACTGAAATTATTGAAGCTTTCATTAATCAAGGTGCCACAATTAATTTCGTTTTCTATTTTATTAGTTTTAGGTATGTGTATTGCTAATATCATTTTAGTTTATTTTAGAGTTGAATCATGCTTATTTTTTGAAGGTTTTTTTATTCTAATTTTATAGAAAAAAGACATGGATCTTATAAGTTTGTTTTGTGTTTTGTGTTTAAGAATGTTCATGTTTTCCCAAATTAAACCTTAACTATATTTTATTGAATGTTATTCTTCACCCATCACTTTTCTACATTTCAAATGTCATTGTTTGGCTGCGCAGAATTATTAAAGAAGTTTGAGTTATTATCTGTGTTTAAGTCAAAGCAATGTTGACTTAATTTAAGTTTTGATTGCTTTAGCTTAGACTAAGCCTAATCAAAGTCATGAAAATTTATATTATACTCAAAAAAAAAAAAAAAAAAAAAAAAAAAAAAAAAAAAAAAAAAAAAAGAAAAAAAAATTGTGTGGAACATTTTTGGTGGATTGTGATTTTTGTAAACTCTTCTAATTATATTAGATTTAAGTGCATCGTTAGATTCTCGTGGTTTTTTGCTCTCTTTAATTTAGAGGTTTTTCCACTTAAAAATTTTCTTGTGTTTCCTCGTGAATTGAATGTTATTTTCAACATAATTTGCTCAAGGTTTTGTTTCTCATAGATTTCTTCAAGTAGTAAAGTATTGTGTTATTGCATTATTTTCTTTCATATTATTGATATTGTATTATTTCATTTGCTTAAGGTTTGATATTTTTTTATAAGTTTTCACTAGTTGTTTGACAAACAATAATGGAATCGCGAAGGCCCCCCCAAGACAAAAATCCTGAATCCGTCTCTGCATATAGTGTACATAGTACTTACAATTTATCTATAAATTATTTTATAAATGTATTTAATATTTAAATTAATGATTTAATAAAATAATAAAAAAGTCCACAACAGTTGTTGCCCTGTCGACCTCCATCTCCGACACCATTTGTATGGAAATTATATGTGAATCTACTCAACCATCAAACACTTAACCAGAAAAAAGATGTATATTTTAGCCGCAGGATGTTGTATAAAATTTGGTTGAATGTCGCTAGTCATCGTCGTCGTAGCGAGTTTGGCAACACCACTCATTAAAACGATCGAAACATTATTCTTTATCTAACCATAAAACTATCATCGACAAATGACATCTGTATTTGTTGTAGGAAGACTTTAACAGCCTTTTGCAGTTAAAAATCGTACTTTTGGGCTAAGATCGGCACGTGGTTTCATATACAAGAAGCTAAGGAATGTTTTTGTAAATTTTAATAAAAATAATTATATTAATTGATTAAAAAAATAAGTTAGTAGGTATGTGGGTAGAGATGGCAATGGACCCGAGATTTTTGGGTACCCGACTCGGCCCGGCTCGAAAAGGCTGGGCTTTACCCGTAAATGACAGGCTTGGTCTTGGGCCTGGGCTTGATTTCAAGGCCCGACCACGGGTACGGGCCGGGTATGGGTATATCTTCAGGCCCGGCCCGGCCCGGCCCGCAAATTGTACTATCTATTTTACTAATTTACCTTTATACTATATGTTTAATTACAGTATTATCCTAAGTATATATATCTAATTTTCCCAAACCCTAACCTCTTTCTCATCCCATTAGCTAAACTCTCCCCACGCCCCACCTGCTGCCCTTCCTACATATCTCTCTCTCCATTGGAATATGGCAGCAAAAATGCTTGAAAAATTTAACAAGTATTGGGATGTGATTAACGGTGTCTTGGGGGTAGCGAGTCTTTTAGATCCTAGATACAAAATGAAATCGTTAGATTATTTTTTTCCCCGGATCTATGGAGTTGATGGTAAATATCATATTTTGAGAATTCAAGGATTATTATCAGATTTATTTAATCAGTACCAATCGAAGCAAGGAAGTAGTCAACCTCCTCCCAATGCAGCACCTTCTTTGCAGACTAATATTCCTTGTAGTGAGGACGATGGGTCCGTTAGTGACTTTGAGATGTATATTGCACAAGAATCAAATGTTGTTGAAGGAAAGTCAGAACTAGATTTTTATTTAGAGGAGAAACTTTTGCCTGGGACTCCTAACTTTGACATATTGGTTTGGTGGAAGACAACTGGGCCTAAATATCCAATCCTCTCTTCTATTGCTCGAGACATCCTTGCTATTCCTGTCTCCACAGTGGCTTCTGAATCTATATTTAGCACGGGTGGGAAGGTAGTAAGCCCACATCGCAACAAACTTCATTCAGATACATTAGAAGCATTGATGTGTGTTCAAAATTGGTTACAGGCGGATATAAAAGGTGATTAAATAAAAGTTTTATTTTTTTAACATATTTGTCTTATTGTCTTTAATATATATTTTTTATTTCTTTAACGTATTTGTCTTAATATCTTTAATACATTATATTTTGCATTCTTATTAGGTCAACAATCATGTTCGACATTTTTTGATGACACTGATGAGGAAGAAGATGAATTATAATGACAAAGAATAGGTATGCAATTGGTTAAATATTTAGTCTTTCATGTGTTATATGCTTCTTATGTATTTTATAATTGCAGAGAGGTGGACTTACCCGACTGGAGCTTGCAAAACTTAAAGAGACAACAACTTAGAAATTTGTGATAGATTTTATTGTTTTGTATTTGTTCAGATTTTACTATCTCAATTTGCTTGTTGCTCTTATGGTTATGTTATACTCTAAAAATGGATGAATGCACTTTGTCGAATGTTATTTATATATTTGTCGAATGTTATTTACTTATTTATGTTATTTATATACTT